TATTCTCTTGCTATATTGTCCTTCTAGTTCTTAACAACATTTTTTTCTAATATTTTTAGAATATGATGACGTCGAATAAGAGATCAACAGGTATTAATCTTCTAATAGTGTGAAGAAAAATGTGTCAACAGAAGAAGAGAATTGCGTAGGAAACATTTTTTCAGTTAGTATAGAAATGCTCGATCGTTTCTAGATATAAATACTAGTACAGGTTATAGTAACATACAGGATTTCCATGAAGGTTTTTGAGATCAGGATTTAGTTATTTTATATTAGAATAAAATTTTACTTTTTAAAAACTAGAGAGAAAGCTAATAAAAAGAGGTAGATAATGAGAGAAAAAAAGGTAATGACGCATTTTTATGACCTTCTATTTCCATCGTTTCTCGAAATGTTATTACTGTCATTGAATTGCTGTTGCTTTATCACTGCTGACTTTGTTACCTTTTCACTCTTAGAATTATGAATTGAATTGCAGTGACAAGTTTATTCTAAACTCAAGGAGATAAGCTTGTCAATCAACATAATTCTCAAAGCAACTTAAATTTGGTATCGCTAATTTGGTAGAGTAGAGAGAAAAACAAGCAGAAAAAAGAAAGTTCTATTAGAAGACAAAGATAGCTTAGTCACTAAATTTATCTGAACATGTGAAAGTCTCTTTCATACAAATTTGAATATTAATTTTCAAAATCTAAGAAAAAGTTTCGTTTATCCACTAGATTAAATTGAAATGAACTTAAAATTGTTTTTCCAACAAATAACTTACCACAAAGATGTGTATCTCTGATTTATATCAGGATGTCACTAATTCATGTACAAACGTTACGGATTAGATCTTGATATACATTTTATTTTTGATCGGGATAGAAAAAGTCAATTCTTCAGGTTATTAACAGTTTGACATGTTCAATATGTTGTCATCTCTCATGTATTTCGAAAAGTAATCGAATAGTTTTTCAGTAGAAGAGTCATGTCTCTGCGAAAAGCGTTTTGTTAAAAAAAAAGAGTGACTTTTATCATACTTATAGCTAAATTGCTGACGTTAGAAAGATGAAATACTCTCATCATATTACTATTTGTGATAGAGAATGAATAAAAGACAGCTTACAACCAATTGTCTTTTTTTTCTTCGCTTTTAATGGATGACACAAAGCTATCTTCTATTAAAATATTTACATTGAAGAGAAGTTTCTAGAAAAATGGATATGATAAAATGTTTTCATGCAGTTAAATTTAGCACAAGCAATTCTATCTGTAGCATTTTAGAAGATTAACATTGTTGGTTGCAAAAGATAACAATTGATTAAGCTCCATGTTAGGTGCGAATAAGAGAGATAATATTGAAAACAAAACTCAGTCAAACAAGAGTTAATATATTCATGGATCTGGAAAATTAAATTTAAGTTCAAACGAATTTAGCCAAGCAAGAGTAAATATATTGATATTAAATGTCTAATGTAATTAGTCTTGAAGATAAGATGCTTTGCAATACGAAGATTAGATCATGTATTCGTTGAAAAAAGAACGTGTTGTTTTATGAATTCGAGTTTACACGATCATTTTCACTGTTGATCTATCATTAGCCATGATATATATCAGAAATAGATCGATTTTCTTTCATGAAAATGATACAAGCAAAGATATCATTATTTTTGACATTATAATGAATATTTCAACCAATCTCAGGTAACGGCTTGCCAAGTCTTATCGTGAGAAGGGATAGAAAATCTTTTGTCTTACGGATTTCTGAACTGGATATGTCTTCTTTGACTTACAATCATCTCATCGTGTGGAAGTAGAATGAGAAAAAATTCTTCTTCTCTCTATATCTTTGTTGGAATAATTCATTCAATCTCAGTTTATGCATCTTCAATGGTAATGAATTCATTTTACACAAGAGACGAATAAATTAGTCAAGATTGTTTTCTATAAGTCAGTTTAGTTACAATGATGATCTGAAATGTTTGAAAAAGTAATTTTAGGATTTCGATGTTCTAAGAGAAAGAGAATAGTCGGTGATCATGACAGTGAAAGACTGTCTGTAGAGAATGAATAGTTTTCATACGACCCATGTCAATAACTATCAGTGTAATTCTAAATCAAGTTTTTTTTATTTATATTCTCGAATAAGAATATAAAATATTAGAAAACTAGATCAAAACGTAAGTTAAACGTTTTGCTTTGAGTATTTCAATTGTATGAAAAGCGATGAAAGAAGCGCCACACGTGGACAGGTATACAATTCATTTATTTATGACAAAATTTGTAAGAGTATTGCATACAATTTTTATAGTCAAACACAAAGATAGAATTCGCTTCATTTCTTTTCTTATCGACATAAGTATATAGGTGTGAGTGTGGGTATGGGTGGGTGTAGTTGTGGGGTGTGGATGGTGGTATCTCTTTTAGAAGACACACACCTACATTCTGTTGATGTATCACACTTCTTTTTTCTTGTGTCTCGAAATATTTATTCGTACATATTTATTTCTTCATAGATATTCTATCGGAGAAAAGAAATACGGCGACATTTTTCCATGTCTATTCAAGACGAGGACTTTTTCCGCTGCATTTGTCAATTGATCTTAATACGGCTAGTGGCGGAATGACATTTGACAAAAGTGAATTTTCTCGTTTACCTGATAATTTCAAGTCTATGTCTCAACTTACGTCCGAAAATTTGCAAGAAGTGGCTGATGCTCTATATCGCTCGCTCACCATCGGTAGAAATAGCATGATACCTGAGAGAAAGGATCCATCGGTCCAATTGATTGCTGCTAAATTCAAGCATGCAAGCATGCAAGAAAGTCAACTCGAACCAAGAGTAAATGAATTAGCACTGACAAAGGTCATCGACAATCTGGATCAATATTCACAGCTGAAAGCAATTAAATGCAATTTGTCATACACTCATTGTGGCTCAATGATAATGGTTGCAAAAGACGTGCGAACATTCTGTATTAAGAGACGAGATTGAAACATCGTTTATGTTAGTACTTCATCATATTATTCAAGAATAAAAAAAAGAATTTACTAGAGTATAAAATGTTAGATAGATGCGATTTCCTTTTTCTTCATTTTTTATGTAGAAGGATTATACTTTTATGAGCCTTTTTTCATCTCGTGAAATTATATGTTTGATGTTGACGTCACACAATCCGCAAGCATCAATGTTTTATCAGAAAAAATACCAGCCTTCTTTAATCAATCGAAAACAGATCGGCTTATCTCTGCGTGGAAAAAGACAAGTTCAATCTGCTGATCCCAACTTTTACTTTTAAGCAATCGACTATATTGTCGAAATAATTCACAGAATTAATGTTGTACTTAGGTTTAAAATAATTAAAGAAATGAAAAGTTTAATTTTGTCAACGTGTTTCATGTTTATTTATTAATATGTAAACATAAAATGATTCAGACGACCTCGAAAGCCAGATTGGTACAGTATTTGAGTAGTTATTGTAGAATATACAAGAATTTAATCAACCAACCTTTTCTTTTAGTACAATTTTTAACAATACACATATTAAGTTGTAAAAACTTACATAAAAGACATAAATATGATGGCAGAAACAAACCATCAAAATGGGAATAGACAGTTCAATAACCATTATTTCTTATTTAACCAAAACGGCGTATGAAACGACTTTAAACCAATTTTACCATCTGTCCAATCAGTGAAAGTAATCAAGCAGTGAAATTCTTTTGAAAAAAGGTAATTTTGAGAGTAGTAATTGCCATTGAATTGTATCAGAAAGCATGCGATCATCAATATGTATGCCTATTGACCAATATGGATCAGATGTGTCAGTAATAGTTCGACTGTGTGAAAGCTAGCATCAAAATCTTTCAAACGAAAATCAGTTGAATTTGTAGGGACAATAAAGGACTGTAGACTGCAAAAGCAAATTTATTTCGAATGTGCAGTGAAAATTAGGAAGCATTCAGAATGTACAATTAGTTAATTATCATCCTTGAATGACTCAATGTAATTCTGATGCATTTTAGACAACTAAAATAAGCAGTCATAACCGGTTTCGCACTTGCTTAAAGAACTCATCAGATGGCTTTACTCAATTCATCATCATCATGAGAGGACAACGAAACTGCACTCGACTCCTAGAATAGAGGAGATACAGTATTAAAATGTATGACTACAATAAAAATAAGCAGTCATGACTGATGAGACCCTTAAGCAAGGTCGAAACTGGTCATGACTGCTTATTCGTTAATTCTTCTCTATGGAAATTTCTTTGCTGAGGACTTAAGAGCGTTAGTGTTGACGAAAGCCTAGTTTTTCTTGTGATGATGCTCTATGCATCGGTAATTTACTCATTTAGATAGTTAGAGAATATTCATTGAACAAATATACGATAAATAAATATTTCTATTGAATACAAAATTGATCCAATATTATGAAAATCGGCTATACTGAAAGAAAAGATAACAATATAAATTTGAAAAATCAAATACTTGTGTTTATATGAATTCTGATTATTTGCAACTATGATGATGTTTCCCTTCTTTAAATAAATGTTTCATGGACTGTACTTGTCAAGTCATGCTGCTCCAATGATTCATATCGTTTGAGAAGCACTACCAATAAACCTCAATCAGTTGATTTAGTGTGATCGTATTCTATATTTCGTTATACAAAGTTCCTAAGAATTATTTTTCGTTGTTATCTTCATAAGTATTGAATTATGTAGTTTGCAAAACAAATAATTGAAATACGATAGCAAAACAAGCAATTCGAGCAATCATACACATTTAGTCAGCTAACACTTGACTCACAGTTTTCTCTGTGATAGAATTCCAAGTCTTTTGATATTGCAAAACTGTGCATATGCTGCAACAATGAATAACTTTGCAAAATACTTGTGAAGTGTATCCGTATAAATCAAAACTTCACAGTGACACTTATTATTTGAAAAAATAATAGTTGATTAAGCGTGATTAATAGTGAAGTAATACGAATAGTCATTTTCTAATATCAAAACATGGAAAAGTTTGTTCCTTTCACTATCACTGTAATTGATTGTTCAAGGACGATTTAATGTGTAGGTATATTAAAAAGTTTATTAACTAGCTCCTAACTTTTTACACATTTTTCTCCGATTATAATGATAAAATTTCAATGATAAAACGTCATACAATTACATGAACTCAACCAAATTAAATGGGTTAGAAAATCCAGTTCTGAGAAAAAAACGATGGTTGCTATGGTCTTTTGCTCATTGTCAAACACGCATCCTAAATTCACGCAGTGTTTCATAAATGGGTATGCTTTGTTCGATTAGCTGTTGTATATCTTCAGGCAGGACAAAGTCATCAGTACTGTCTTTCGCTTTCTGAATCTGATTGAAACCCGTGCTGTACTGGGCCTGTTCATGCGATATTGGCCATTTATCGAACGCCCTAATCCGTTCCGATTGCCACTCAATCATGCTCGGTTCAAATCGATCATCAATAGCTGATTCGCAGTACATTCTCATGATCACTCTGGGTTCTTTGAGAAGTTCGTCTGCTTCGATCAAAGGTGGCCGAACGCCGGTAAGCTCGGTGAGGAATTCGAACAAGGCTTGCAACTCTGGGTATCCTATGTCGTCGTTGATAAATTCCTTGTTGCTTGTAACATACTCACGATACAAAGCGGGTACCGCCTTTTCTGGAGTACGAAGAATAAACGTATGTTTGCAGCGCTTGAGAAAGTCAATCGGAAGCACAGTTGGATTTTCTCGATGTGACTTGTAGTCAGGTCGAACAACGTGGCGCGCCATATCTTTGATAAAGACGCTTTTCTTTTCCTTGTTCGCAGCGGCCTTGAGAATTTCCTCGATGATCTGTGAGTAGGTTGTATCGATATACTCTGCATGTGCACTCAGATCATTGTCGTAGTAGCTGTAAATACGCTCGGGACCAAAGTAGCAAGGCTCGCCGAAGGGTTCATGAAAAGTAATATAGTCTTCCCTCTGTATAAAAGTTCGTTCAAACGCAGTCGAGATTGAATGGACATGTGACCAAAGAAAGACAATTTTTGTTGTTTCCATTGGCATAGATTATAAGACAGCAAAATAAGAATGACATGTTAACACAGTGAAAGCATGATAAAAGATAAATTGCAGAGCTGAAAAAAACACGACTCCCGTGGACTTATCTTTCGTATCATTCATTTTTGTTCGACAAACAAAGAAATGGTAACTCGCTATTGCATTTATTTTATATGAGTTTGGAGAAAATAGATGTATAAGACCAACTGGACATCAAAGGATTGAATACAGGTTCTAGTCAAGTTCGAATGAAAACAAACTGAGAATCCTATTGTTGATCTTTTTCTTCTCTCTCATAGAACTACAATGACTATCGACAAGTAAAAGCAAACTCTCGATAGAGCTAGTAAAAAGAAAGAACAATTGTTGCTGAAGATCCATCTACTCTTCGAATCGAACAACATTAATGTGTCTCCAATGAAAATAGGCCGAATAATCTGGAAAAGATTCTCCAACCTCGCCGAGACTGACCTCGACAGCAGCAATACTCGATAAAAGAGTTCATCTCGAAAATAAGAATAAGCAGCCATGACTTATGAGTCTCTTAAGCAAGGACGAAGCCGATCATGGCTGCTTATTCTTAGGATAGCAACGATTAAGGATGAAAAATTAGCAGATAAAATTGATGCTGGTGATAAGAAGAAAATTAATGATACTATTGAAGAAACATTGAAATGGTTGGAATTAAATCAAGTAAGAAAATTTTTTGTTTTTTTTTAATTTTATGTAATTAACGCCTTTGTTTTTTTTTATAGCGTCGTGCCGAAACAGAAGAATTTGAACATAAATTGAAAGAAATCGAAAGAATATGTTCACCATTAATGATTAAACTTTATGGTGGTGCCGGTGGACCACACTTAGGCGCTGGTGGTAACAGTGCTGAATCAACTATTGAAGTCATTGTATTAAAAAAAAAATCATTTTTATATTTAATTATATTTGTACTGTTTTTATTTTACAAAGTTGATTAAAAGTCAAATTCTTTTGTTTTCTGTTTCTTTGTTTTTCTTTTTATTGTCAACATCATTGTATGTAAAAAAACAAAAAGAATGATGTACAAAAAAATGAAATTCTCATTAGAAATAAAATAAAAGTCAGGGAATGTCGATTGAGATTTCGACATAAAAAAAGAATATAATATTGTGTCTGTTTTTTGAGGTTAAGTGAAGGCAACACCGAAGTAATTGTGATCGGGACTATTGAAACATTCATATGAACAAAGGAGTACACGTTGAGGAATGATTGCTGTTGTTTGATTTGTATTATTTTTCATTCCTTTAAATGTTCATTGTACATCAATAAATTCAATACATTCTAAACATGTATTTCAAAACTAATTACGACAAAATTGACATTCAGTACATTGCATTAAAATGTCTTTAGTTGTGTTATAATGTTGTATACGTTCACGTAATATTGATTGAAAATCTAATATTGGATTACGTAATTCATTCATAGAAGGGTGTAGGTGTGGCTCTTCCCTTCACTGGCACTCACACCCACCCTTCGATACCTCTAAGGGGTTTTGTACGAAACCCTTCCGTCTGCAAAAAACCCAAAGAGCTTTCATACAGAACCTGCTTCTTTACGAAATCTTAAAAAGGTATTGTGGAGATGTTCGATTCCTGATAGTGTACAAAAAAGTTCCACGAAACCTTGAAGGTTTTGTTTGGCGGCATTTTTTTTCAGTGTGTATTACTGCTACCTTCTTCTATGTGTGCGCAATGTCTTATAACCAGTTTTGTTTTTGTTTCATTACTTAGTAATGTATAAAATTCATGAACGAAGCCAGATATTTTTATTCAATTGGTAAGAATAAATAATGCAAGCATTTTTGGTTCGTCTCATTTGAGAAACTGCTTGTAATGGTGAAAGATCAAGTACATACTCATACAATTAAAGCTGACCGTCGTTCAGTAGCAACTGATAGACCTCCAATCCGACAAAGTACACCAGGTAATCTACTACCATATCGACCTCGTATAAGGAAACTATCGCGTCATCTATCGCTCGACAACCAAGTGAGAGACTCTTAGTATTTTCTGTCGTTATATATATATTGCTATAGAGCCATTATTTATCGAAAACATCTGCACCATGCAGGATTGTTATCCATGCAGCTATTCGATCTTCAAGAAGCAGTCGATCTTATGGCAACAATAATACGGTCCATCGGAACTATAAATTGAATTCGGTCAGTGAGATACTTGGGTTTTTAAAATTGTTTCTATTTGCATTTGTCTAAACAGATCTCACCTGATCTCATCTCTTCTCATCATCACAATACATCAGAACAAAACAGTACAAAGACTACTGACAGTTTTACTAAAATTCTTACGTACGATCGATCACTATCGCAAGTAAGATTATGAAAAACTGAGATCATAGTTTGACATTTTGCGATGTATGATGGAAAAATCTTCGAATGCCATCAGAGATCATTCCATCATATTTGAGTGAGGTTAGAGTTTAGTACCATTATCGAATATTTTTTTAAAAATATCCTCCACTATTTTCTGAATGAGTCTCGAACATTGATAGCTATCGAGTTTGGATTTTCGGCATTCGCTAGAGCAGTCTAGGAGACGTTAAACTATATAGTTTACATTTTGTCGCTCTATCTCGTCCCGTCCCAGGATGGGACGCGTGACATTCTGCGTCCTGCGGAGCTCTGTTTCGCACTGTTTTTCGAAGTTCTTGCTTCAAAATTTTGACTTTTAAAAACGAATTCTGCAGATTTTCAGATTTTCCGGAAGTAGCGTAGTCTTTTTTTGCTATTCTAATCATAGAAGACAAGCTTTAAGTGTTTGTCGTCATTAGTAGAATATGTATGAGACTTTTGATATAATCCAGTCCTACTGAATTTTGATGTTAAAATAAAAACACGGGCCATCGTGATAATCATTCTATAAGATGTGAAAGTTATTCCCTTTAGTACTTACATGTATTATATGGGTAATTTCATAGATAGTCAACAATAAAAATACAAAGGTTTGCGAAATTTTTTCCTTAAATAAAATTCACTTTCTATTTCTTTAGGATAAATTACACGATTTTATTTTGTTCCTCACGCTCTATTTATTTACCCGTTCACTATTGCCGAGAAGTTCGAACCGATAAAAGACCAGAATGATATCTTTAGAAAAGAATAAATTTCACAAAATGTTTACCGTGACATATATTCGACAAATACCTTTTTTCCAACAATCGGCCTATGGGCCGAGCTGAGGTAGTTTTAGTCAAGCCCATACGAAGCCCTTATCTAGTTCATCTGAAGTAGCTCATGATAAGATGAATGTGCATCTATTTGGTTGAAGATAAACATCATGATTGCTTTTTATAGACTATCATCAATGATCGTTGGACTCGAAATAAAAACCATATCGATACAAAAGTAAGACTTTATATTTTCTTCGTAATATCTCATCTCTCATGTGGAGACAGATCACAAATGCATGGCCGAATCGAAAATATCCTCTGAATGAATATCATAAAAATTCAAAAAAGAGGCAAGAAAGAAAGTGAGTATTTTGTCATGTTTTAATTGATTGTATATCTTTCAATTTTTACGCAGATACTTTCGTTTCTGTTGGGGTTTGTGCTCACCCTTATGTGTATTTGCCTCAATATGTGCTGCTCTTCTTATTGGTATAGTCATCGCAATAGTGCTTGTCGCCATTCTGATCAAACCCGTAGCAACGGCAACATCAGCAACAGCAACAGCAACAACAACAACAGCAACAACAACATCAGCAACAACAATATCAACAACAACAGCGACAACAACAACAATGACTACTACTGCTACTACTACGGTACGAGTTATCTATTGCATGCTTTATTTCTCAATATTGTCTCTCAATAGACTGCGCCTAGGCCGTGTGGCGCTGCTCCATCGACCAATGGGAACAGTTGGTCCGCTACCGTAACGATAGCGTTGAACTGCTCTACTACTTTGACCAATCTTACTATCATTATCACTGTGCAAAAGACCGTTGGTACGACAGGCAGTGCATTATGGAACAACTTTCCGGGCGTTTTGAGTCAATCTTATGTAAATACTGCCACACAGGCAATCTACACATGGATCATTATGAGTGGACAAACGATCCCACCAAGTAGTTCTTACACGACCACGGCTCAGTTTTCTTTAACTGGAACAGCACATCCGACAAGTAATGATACTTATATAGTAACAACGACGATAAGTGGCGGTCAAACAAATATACTATCAGGATATTTTTGAGCGAAACTTGAACATTATCTCCTCTCGTTTGAATGCGAAGCATCTTAACATTTTCATTGTATAACAAATCGAATGACAATTCACGTATAATAAGCAACAATGTGTCATGACATTTATATATGTTTAAATAAAGCTCATCGAGTTCTATAAAATCGTATATGTAAAAAAAAAGTTTCACACACTATTTTTGTGCTAAAACATTGGAAATATACATTCCCTATTTAGAATTGTTTTCAGAATTCAATACTCTCTTTCAAATATTACATTATGCTTATTCTGCTATTATTGTTCCGATAATCAGATCTCTATTTTTCTTGACATATTTGAAGATTGTATATTAATATAAAAATATAGGGTGATGCATAAATAATTTTATGATAAAAAATTTGTATATCTTTACTCTGCTTTAATCAATCAGGCTATTTTGTGCTCAGTGATAGGAAGGACTCTTCAACGTTTTTATTCATAGAAAAATCATTGATAGATATCGAGGCTCGAAACGAGCCGCCCGGTCCGACACTTTTATTGATCGTTTAACTTTTTACTAAACTGTATACTCATTTTAAGCCAATGAATTTGAAGTACATCAAAATTAAGATCCGTTTTATCATGCGACATGTCATGTTTTCGATATAAAATTCATGAAATTTATTTTTATTTTTGAAGTCCCTGGGACATGTGATTAATATAATAAACCAGAGCAATTGCTTAAACCAGACATATCTCTCGTCTGCATACAATGTTCTATATTGCAAAAATGGCATTAACTAACAAGTGAAAGTGATTGGCAGAAAAAATGTGTCGAAAATAAAGTGCCATCAAGAGTAGGAGCTTTAAATAACATTTTATCTAATCCTCCAACTTTGATTAAGGAGTAAATTCATAAAAAGCATATCATTATCTAGAAAAAATAGAATTCTATGGTTTTTGTGCCAGTTTTCTATGCGAAACTGTTTGTCGATTTTGATCATATAGTGACCTAGAGCGCAGCAGAAAATAGTCTATGAAGAGATCGAGAAAAATACTAATGTCTAAAGTTAGGAGGTACATCTTCAAATTTTAGATAACAATAAATTTTTACTTCTTGTTCACAAAACTTTTTAGACCGTAAGCTAGTTCACTGTATGGTCAAAATCGAAGAAAACTACTTCCACTCAGAAATACAGTGAACTTTCCACGGTTGTAACCCAATTAATAAATTGTACCATAGGAAATCGTGTTATGTAGAATGAGCGCTATAGAGTTCTTAAACCCTACAATATAAATTGTTTTTTCTTATTCAAAAAGCAATCCAACTTATTGCATATCGATTTTATTTTTATTTCAAGAATTTTGACTATTCAAACTCAAAATAATATCGGGTATTTGCTCTCAAGTACATTGGCAATTATCGTAGTGATTCTAAAAATTTTATTGAAAAAAAAATTTGTGTAAAAGAAATTTCGGTCGGGTCACGAAAAAGTGGTCTGTTTCGAGCCCTGACACCGCTGTTTAAGCTGATACGCCTTTGACAGCACCAACAACGATCAGTGCACCATCGACAGTTCGTACATTGTCGATCACATCAGGTAATCAATCAGGTTGATACCAAACTCATTACGATACAGGTTCAAATCGTGTATAATTGATATTTCCATTTTTTTCTCGATTTCACATTCAATTTACTCAACATGGGATTAACGAGTTCGAAAAATAACCAATCACATAATATAAGTGTCATCTGTCAAGAACGAGAAAAGATGTATGCATGAGTGCGCGCGTGCGCCGACCGGTTACCAAGCATGAAGACAATTTTACATTGAAAAGGGAAAGAATTGACGCTTTTCCTCTACTCATATCTGTAAAAGTTGAACTGATTCCAGTTGAAGCGAACAACTTCAATTGAATTCAATTTTCTAGTGTTAACTGACTGATACGATAATACTTGCAAATAACAGACAAAGAATGAAAAAGATTTTAAAACATATGCTTGTTTAACTTAGCTCCATTTCTGGAGAACGAAGAAGCTATATTAATTTTGAAAACTATTGCTAAAATAAGAAAGAGGTGAGTCAAATACTTACAAAAGCTCGAAAAAAAATTTATTTTATCTGAATGATTGAACAATCAATAGTATTACTTAGTTTTTTCGTTGCATAACATTTCCGTAATGAATCATTTAGTCGACGACTTCGATCGATTATAATAGTATTGATAAGGTAAATCTTCATCTTATTGATTTGTCGACACTGAATAATTGTTTTGTGACATTTAGTAGGTAAATATCAAAAATCCAACTGCCCTTTGAGAATATGTCTTGCTCTTATTTTTATTGCTGTAGGATGCCTTTTTGTATCGTAGCATGTAGTATATTCGTCAAACTAAAAAAAAAAAGGTCGTATGGAAAAATGTCGAAAATAAAAATATCAAAAGCGGTAAATGTATGCCAAGGTACGAGTGTAAAAGTGAGGGTGAAGATGAAAGAGATCTCTCCTTCGATCTACATTCATTTTTATCTATTCTAGCTTTTGATATTTGTATAATTTCTATGTTTGACATTTTTCCTTTCGATCTATTCCCGTCCATTCAAAAACAATTCCATTCAGAATTATTACTTGTAATTATCGAGATAGGATCCCATCATCTTTGATATAGAACAACAGTAAAATCGCAGACAAAATTTTTCATTAATTTTAAGAATGTCAATATTATTCAAGTTCTTATTATTCACAATTATATTGAAATATTCTATTCATTGTTATCCATCAACGTATTGTATTCGTTTTGATACGAATATTGAAGATCAGAATAAACCAATAATTATAAATGTAACTCAAAGTTGGTCACCATTGGGAGCAAATCATTTATATGATATAATTCATTCGAGTTTTTATTCTGTACCTGCAGCTTTTTTCCGTGTTGTTCCAAAATTTGTTGTTCAATTTGGAATTAGTGGTGATCCTACACAAAATGTTCTATGGAACAAAACTATCCTTGATGGTAAATAAATTATCATTATTCCTATTCTGTCATTTATTGTTTACATATAGATCCGGTGAAGATGTCAAATCTAATGGGTACTGTTTCTTATGCAACAGATGGTCCTAACACTCGTACAACTCAATTGTTTATTAATTATGATAATAATTCACGTTTGGATGCTTTAGGTTTTTCACCTTTAGGTAATTGAATACAAACTAAACAGAATTTTCTATTAAAAATTACCTTTTCAACGCATAAACGAATGTGAATAAGATATTGAATTGCAGGTATTGTAACAACTGGTTTCGACATTGTCAATGCTATATTTAATCCAACACCAGGTAAAATTTTCGATAAAAGTAGAGAAAGTGCGGAGTGAAACTGAACAAGAATGACTCATATTTTATCAGTACAAATAATTCTTTGTACTTCATTTCTCCTGAACACTTCTTTTGAATCCGACACTGTAATGAACATCTATGAGATATTATTGTTATGTTAGAATAATATATGATTTGAATGATGTAAGTACGAAACAAAAATTCAAATTAATCGATCATTTAAGTTAATTGTGAGTCTTTTGCGGTCATATGTTGCCATTTGGCAAGATTGAATCAATGTTTCGTGAAGGATGAATTTGTAGCTACACTACATCTATAATTATTTACCAATACAGTCATAAGAAAAGAAATCCTTGACTAAGTCTACGTGCATTGTTTCAAAGACGACAACTAGTAATTGATTGATTTTTCTTTGTAAAGTCTTTGTATGGAATGTATTTCAATGGATAATGTTGAATTTATTTTTAGGTAATAGCGATGGTGTTGATCAGGATCAATATTCCACAAAAGGAAATAGATGGATTATTGCACAGTATCCAAAAATAAATTTTATTGTAAAGGCTACTATCATTTCAAATTGTCCAATTAACAATACTTTTAATTTTTTTATTGAAACGTATTTTTCCGTCATAAGAAGAATGATTCTTTTTTATTTCATATATGAACATATCTGTATCCTTGAGTAAAAAATAAATTCTCAATGATTAATTGATGCACGAGTGATGGAGATAATTTGAATAATTTTCTCACAAGTTTGCATTCTTTCTTTTGAAATGAAATAAACAAGAGATCTGTATTGATCAGCCACGTTCTCGATTGTTTTTTTTTATCCAAGAATGCATGAAACAACTACTGTCTCTTTCGATTGTCAGTCATGATATCGACATTTTTTCGCCAATTCCAGAACCTATAAAATAAATCTCATACATGTTCATCAACCATGTATATGAATAGAATCACATCAAGTTTATTGTTCTTGATTAAATTACCTACAATTCGTTGAAAGATATTATCTTCCTATCAGGATGTTGTGTCTTTCAATGTATATTCATGAAGTAGAATTATCAATATTACTTTTTGACTCATGTAAATAAATATTTCTCAATCAGTAAAAGGCTTAGCGAAAGTAATCATGTACACTTTACATTCAAAAATCTCTAGTGAGAACATAGGATTCAATTCTCTTCACATCCATGATAGATGTCGAATTGAAGGATGGTTCGTATCCACAATATTGACATAATATTGATTTTAAATTATTGAATATTTCCTTGAGTTCTATATCAAGATTATAAATCTTAACATCAATAAAGCGTTTGCTTATAGATTGAAACTGTTGCTTCAATCGACTGTAATTTTCTTTTATATAGAAAACCACTAACAATTAAAACCGGGGTGTGGGGTGTGGGTGTGGGTATAAGATTCTATTCACGTACACTCACCCCCACACCCACAGCTGAAAAATCAGATTAAAATTAATTTTTTTCGAAATAATTACAAAAAATTGATCAAATAGGCCACTTTATGATTAAATTTAACGAAATAATCAATTAAAATATTTTTTTCAGGAAAAAAATCTGAATAATTGATTAAAAATCTAATCGATTATCATTGATAAGAAGATTAAGCCTTTCAATCCCAAATTATTTCTGCTGAATTCAATTCAAATAGACTGTTAGATTAGTTTATTTTAGCCACAAACACAAGATATAAAT